CCAAGCTCCCAGCCACTTAGAGGAAGCCACTGCTCTTAGGCCCGCCTCCAAAGAGTCCAGAACCACAACGCTGGTGTCATGCATGCGCTGATTCCAGCAGGCACCAGCAGGCAGGAAGGGCCCCCAGACCAAGGCCCACCCATCACCTAACAGCACAGCGCTGGAGTCAGAGTTGGGTTTTCATGCCACTTCACACTCTTTGGCTGCCTGCTAACTTGCCCTCTTGTTCCTGGGCACATCTGGGTTCAATTAGATAGTAAGTCCCTCCTGACTAAGGTGCTGTTCGAGAGGCCTTTTTCTTTTCCTTGGAGTTAAGTCTCCATGCTGCCACACTGCCAGCAGGAAGAGCTGTATCTGCACAACCCACCCGCTGCCTCTTCATCTCCCTACCCTAGGCAGCAGCACACAAAGCTACTTCTGGGAGAGACTCAGGGACCCTGAAGCTGCAGCTGTGGAACCCCTCCTCTGAGGATGGAGCCCTGCTGCATGGCCCTAATCAGTCAGGATGTCTGATCTCAAGGCCTCTCACGTCTCTACACTAAGATTTCCCAATCCAGAGAAAGGATTGGAGCAACTGGACTGGCTGATGGCTCCACTTGTCAGGGCAACAGAAGATAGGCAAGGCAGTGGAGCACAGTGACTGAGCAGAGAAGGCCTTGGTTGAATTTCCAATGTGCAGCCTATTGATTGAGCACTTGCTGGCTCTCAGGCACCGTACTAGAGTGGGAATGCACCAGAGAATGCAGTAGATGGGAAGAATGGGCGATCGCACTTGACAGAGCCCTGAAGTAGTAGAGGGGCTGCACAGACCTGTGCTGGCTGTTTGTGGGCTGTTAGACCAGAGGACAGGGTTGGTTAGCATGGCTGGAGGGAGCACAGGAGTGGAAGGGACCATGAGAACAGGAAGGATGAGCTAGAGCAGTAGCCATAACCACATAGTGCCTGGACCTGCTGGCCAAGTGGAGGAGGTGGGCTTGCTCTGAGGACCGTGGGAGGACCACAAATGGGGCCTTCAGAGTGAGGGGTAGTGGCAAGGGCTGCATATCTCAGAACCCTACCGCCACAGGCTGTTTTGTCAAGAAAGAAGTCCATGGCATGGGAGAAGGGATAGTGGTCTGGCTTAGGGGCCGAGGTGGACATTTGGAACTAGTGTTGGATGAAGTGTGGCCAACCATGATGGACTTACATGTTGGGAAGGAAGAAAAGTGAGCTGCCCAGGACGATGCCCAGGATGCTGGTCTGGCCAACCACATGACTGTGACTGGGTCCCAGAGGACATGCTGTGGGTGTAGGAACTGACAGTCTCAGAGTCCCGTCTGTGCTCACTTAGCCATGTCACACAGTCTCACGGCATGTGGGGTCATGTGCTGAGGAGGCTGCTCACCTTGGGGGTGTCCCAGAAGCAAAGAGAGAAAGGACTGGGATCTCAATAGCCTCTTCAAGGTCTCATTCAGAACACAGAACCTCCTCCTGCTGGCTGCCTCCCACTAGAGGTACCTGAAGCCCCCAGGCTGATGCCAAGGGGATGGTCGGAAAAAATGTCCAGAAGTAGGGAGAGGAGGGGAGCCATCAATGCTCGGATGGAAAACCACCTGGGAAAGGAGTAAGGGGAGGGATGTCAGCATAAGAAAGGTTGGGCAAAGGAGGAGACACATAAGAAGAGAATGGGATCACCCAAGTCAAGCAGGGCAGAAGGTGGGTGAGAGGCAGACAGGACAAGGCAAACATCCTTTGTTTGGGGCACCCCATGGCCTCAGTGAGGATGGTTGGCCTGCAGGAGTATAGAGAGGCGAGGAGAGATGGACAGGTGTGTGGACAGCCCTCTCTGGACTTGTACTATGTAAGGAAGCAAGGAGCCCCTGAGCTGGAGTGGGAGGGTGTCTGGGAGGCTTTAGAGCTGTTTGGCTCCTGGTAGGAGAGTGCCCAGCCTATATCTGTGGGGTGGAAGGTGCCAAGCACCAATAGACTGTAGCTGCTGAAGGGCCTCTGAACAGGGCAGGGGCTCAGGCTTGGGCAGGAATGGGGCAAGCCCACACTGTTGGAAAGCCATCCTGGCCTGGGCCCCTCAGGAGCCATGAAACTGGACAAGCCATAGGCCCAGCCCTCACAGAGTAGGAAAATCCCAGGGCCTCGTGTTCAACCAGGGCTGCCTTTTCCATGTCTTGGGCCCCCACAGTGGCCATCCTCAGGCTCTCCATGACCCAACTCTGCTTGTATGCCCTTCTCTAAAGCCTCTTCTCCTAACACCCCCCTGCTCTAACCTTTTTCCTCTTTGGGACAGGTTTGAGGCTCCCTTCTGCTTTCTCTCAGATCTCTGCCTGCAGCACTGTTCATGCTCAGCTAGCTCTTCACTCTCTCGTGTGGTCAGCTTCCTCCTGACAAACCTGCAGAACAGTTCTATGTCTCACAAGTCCCCAGCAGTGCACTAGAGACCTCTTCATGCCCTTCTTACCTGCATCTCACACTCAGTAGCTAAAAGAAGGGTCTCCATCACCTTTCTTCCCCCTGGCCACATGAGTGAGCCAAGGTGAATCAACTTCAACTGTCCACATGGCCCCCAAGGCTTGTGAAGTCTGAAGGCTACACCAGAAGGCCTCCAAGTCTCCATCCTGGAACACGGACTGGGCCTCACAGCACCTGGGGATATCCACTCTGGGAGATTTTGTGTTGATCTGTAAGACACGCTGGAGCAAGTCTAAACTCAAGGTGGCATCAAGGCCCATGGTGAACCAACCTGACCCACCTGGCCCTGTCTGCTCACACCTGTCACATTCCAAGCCATTTAATACCTGTGCCATTTCCCCTGGGGTCCCTATAGGAGCCCCTCCCACTTCTGCCTGACCACTCCCACACTAGCCACTCCCAACACACGACGTCTGCCTTCTGTGGCAGTGACAAGAGCTCTGCATGGTTCTGTGTATGCCCCATCAAGGTGCCACTCTGAAGGATTAGAGCTGCCTCCCCATCCCCTGAAAGACTCTGTGTGGGTTAAAGTTTGTTGCCCTGGGGAGTGCAGGGTTTTGAAGGCAGGGAGATGGGCATAGAGCCTGGAGGCTGGCTGAGCAGAGCAAAGTCCATATCTGAGGTCAGCATGGTTGTGGCCTGTGTGGGGCACACTGGGACGGTGTCTAAGGATAAGATGGCACTTGGTAGTTAGAGAGAACAGGGCCGCAGATTGGAAAGGGTGCTTGCTTCAGTCTACTTTATCTGAAGACGGGTACCCAGGGCATAGAGGGAAGCAAGAATGGGGTCCAACAGGCTTTGCCTGAATGGGAAGCTCTGTCAGACATCTCTCCCACTGCCCTGCCCCCAGACTTGCAGTACTTGTGCTTGAACATAAGATGGCGCTTGTCCTGATCAAGCATAAAGTTGCCCAAAGACAGGTGTGTCCGAGCCCGAAGAGGTGAAGACAGGCCCCTTTAGACCCTGTCTGAGTTATGTGAGTGTGTGAAAGAGTGTGATATGGGGGGGCAGGTGTGTATGAGGAGTGTGATGGTAGTGGCTCGAGTGTGGGAATTAAAGTATGACTGTGAATGTGTATGAAGTGTGTGCTTTGTGGGGGTATGGAGATGACATCACTAGAATGTGTTTATGAATGTGGGAGGGGTGTGGGTATGAAAATATGTGTGATTATGGGGTGAGAATGTAACTGGGTGATGGTCAGGTGTGTGACGATTAGAGGTATGTGTGGTGTGAGGTGTGTGAGTAGATGACAGAGCATGGGGTGTTTGTGTGTGACAGAGTGTGAGTGGTGTATAGGTGTGAGTTGTGTGGTTGATTGAAGGCATGAGGGTTTGTGAACAACTGACAGTGAGCGCAAATGTGTGGCTGAGTGAAAGGGATTTGTGATTGTGGTTGTGCATGTAGGGTGTGTGATTATGTGGCATGAGAGGTGTGGACATGGCATGATGCACTGCGGCCTGCGCTCCCTCCCCAAGTGCCCCTCTTCTGCTCCCACCCTTGGGACCCCACTGGGCCTTGAACTGCCATCCTGCCAGAAGGCTGGAGTCCTTGCTACTGTTCTTTCCAGCCACCCTCCTGCACCTGCCCAGTTCTTGCCCTGGTCTTGGCTGGCTTTGGTGTCTGATGACCAATGCTTCCTCCTAGACTAGCCAGGCCTCCCTCTGGCCTATGTACCCTGGCTGCAAGTATGCCTGAGGCTAGTGGCACCCAGAGGGGCCTGTAGCACTTGTAGGAACAGTTCATTCTGATGCAGGGTTCTGGGGTGCTTATGAGGCCTTGAGAGCAGCTGGCACTGCCTAGTCCACCTAAGACTGCGGTTCCCCCACAGCCTCCAGCTTGGCAGAGATGAGTTGAGGAAGAGAGCAAGGCCCCTGGGGAACAATGGCTGTACCTCCTACCTCCCTTGCAGGACTGGTTGTCCTCCTGGGAAGGCTGCCTTTGCACTAGTTGCTGCTTAAAGGAGATGGACAGGCTCAGGGCAAAATGGTTCTGTTCCAAGTTCTGTTCCTTTCCAGCTGTGGGTTCATGTGTGAATGTCTCTCGACCTCTCTGAGCCTCGGGCTTGTACAAGGTGAGGTGGTAGTAGTTTCATTCAGGTGAAGTACCCCAGGTCAGCATGTGTACTTGGTGAATGGCAGCTGCCAGGGCCTCTGCTATTACTGTGAGGCATTTTCACTCTGTGTGACTTTGGTGGCCCACAGTGGCTGTTCTTTGTGGCCGTGCTATGGCCAGGGCGGGCTGTGGAATGGAAACCATCTGCGAAGCTGTGGCTTTACTTCTCCGGAGGAAGAATAAAGGGAATAAAGGAAGGTACAGCCCTACCTATGCAGGGGCCGGGCTGCAGGGGTTCCCGGTGAATCCCTGGGGAAACCTAGCTCCTTCCCAGCTCTGTCAGGGCTCTCTCTGGTTCTGCATCCTCCTCTCCCAGGCTGGAGACAGCTAGGAAGCGTGCACATCTTCCCCGAGCGAGAAGCTGCCTCTTCTCCCTTTTTTTTTTTGGTTTTGTTTTTCCTTTACATGACACCTGTTGCTCATAGGTACAAATCAAACGAAGAGTATGTTTATGTGCGAGGCCGTGGCCGAGGGAAATATGTTTGTGAGGAGTGTGGAATTCGCTGCAAGAAGCCCAGCATGCTGAAGAAACACATCCGCACCCACACTGACGTCCGGCCCTATGTGTGCAAGCACTGTCACTTTGCTTTTAAAACCAAAGGTAAGAGACAGTCAGCTGGGGCACCGCCCAGCCCGCCGCAGAGCGCTCTCCTCTGGGAGCCCCGGCTCACACCTCTTTACCTGGGACCTGGCGCACACCCATATGCTGCCTGTGGCACAGCCCGACCATTCAGGACTGGGCAGTAGCACGCACCCTGTGACTGCCCCAGCCCTCCCCACACCTACAGCGTCCTGCCTGATCCTCTCCCAGTAGCACCAGCCCACAGGTCTTCTATTTATCTCATCACCCCTTCCTTTTGCATGTCCCCAGAGCTGTTTATCCACTGACCTGATGACCTCCAACATCCACACGGTAACACTGAGCGATCCATTCCACTCAGAGTCACTTAACACGGTCGCATGCCCCATGCTACAGCTGTCCCTGCCTGCACCTTCCTCACCGTACCCCTTGCTTCTCTGCAGCTCCAGAATGCAGGGCCCAGCCATGTTCGCCAGATCCAGACTAGCAAGGTTCTGTTCCTGCCCCGGCCACACCCACATCAGGGTCAGGACAGGCTCCCCAGTCACCTTTGAGAGGAGGGAGGAGCTGTGGAGAACTTGTATCTCAGGGAACAGTGATGGATGACTGTGGCCTGGCATGCAGCCTCCCAGGTTCATGGTGGGACAAAAGAGTGAGGCCCTTGGTGCTCTAGATGGTATCTTTCCCATCAGGCTCTGCAGGGAGGTTCTAACTGAGCACAATCACTGTACTCGGGAGCTGGGCAGAACGGGGGGTGCTTCTGAAGGAGGCCAGGGTCTTGGCAGCTTTGGTGGGTTCAGCCTCTTTTGCACTTTGTGTATCCCTAGATCAGGGTTTAGACACATGAAGGGTCTGCCTTCTGTGAGCAACTTGGGTGACTCCATGGAAGCCACACTGTCGGGGGACAGAATTGTACAGCACACTATGCTTTCTCTTTTGTTTTTCTTCTGTCCTTCCTTTCTGTTGGTGAAGCTGTTCCCAGTGAAACAGGCTGAGTGATCACAAAAAGCAGCGGAGCCAATGCAGCTCCCCACCCAAGGTTGCCTCTGTTTCTCCAGTACTAGGCCAGGATGCAGTTTGTTACCCTCTGTGGCTCAGCGGCCTCCTCTCTGGCTGTGTCTCTGTTTCTGATCTCCTGACCCTGTTGGGTGACCCTTATCCTGTGTCCTCTTGCCATCAACTTCAAGCTGAGCTTAAATTTCCCCACCGAGGTTTTGGGACGAGAGTGTCCCTCACCCACCTTCTTTCTCTGCTCCTCTTCTTTCTCCATGTGTCAGAGGGAGGGCATGTCTGGAGTCCTCTCAGCCTGGTGAGGTTTTGGGGAAGAGAGAAGGGGATCCTTGGTGGATTGCTTAGATAACTAGTCTTCAGTTCTACATAGGTAAAGTTGCTTGTCTAACAGCCTCCTGAAAGTGAAGAAACCGAACACCGGAAGAGGCTGTGCCTGGGGAACCCCTGTCCCCAGGGTGCCAGCGCCCTTACCTTCCTCTTCAGAGGTGGCACAACACAGCCACGTGGTGACCTCTGAGTAGATCAGTGGGTGGCCAGGGGACCCCACTGAGGAGCCCCAAAGGAACCTCCTGGCTCTGGCCATGCATGGCACCACATCCACTACCCAGTCCCGGGGAGCAATCCGTCTGCCTTGTGTCACGGTTGTGTCACGGGAAAGCTGTTCCCCCCCCCCACTGAGATCCCAGCAAGTCCTTCTGCCAACTCAGTTCCTCTGCCAAGGCAGAGAGATGCCTGTGGAGCACCTACTGTCCCGGGATGCCTTCCTTAGAAGTCCTGCCCAGCTGCCTGAAGTCCCTGCTCAGGGTCACGGTCTCTCTGAGTCACCCACAGAGCTGAGAGGATCCAGAGTGTAGGATCTGAGCCCAGAGGGGCTTAGGAGAGGGGGTTCTCTGCATTTCCAGAAAGGTGGGGGGAGTAGGGGAGATTCTCCTGAAGAAAGAGGAGCTCTGCTCTCGGCTAGTGATTAGGAGCATGCCAACTTCATCCTCCACTGTGCCGCCTGAGCCTGCCAAAAGATCACAGGAGCCAGTGACATCTCACTCTGTGCCCAGCACTGAGGGGGCTGGTGGGTGGCAGCAGATGGAAGCAAAGAAGCCCCTCTGGTGACGAGGGGACAGGACCTGGAGCCCTTGGCTCTCCCTGGGGCTGTGTTTTATCGCAAGCTCTGGGACCTGTTGGCCACCAGCTCTGGTAACATGAGCCACCTCCTCTCCTCCCAGGGGCTGTCTGCCTATCCCCAGGTCATCTCTACCTATCACTCCTTTCACCCTTAAGTTCTGGCCTGGACCAGGCTGTGTGAGCTCTGAAGCTGAGCCTGGTTGGACCTGGAGCCCTTCCTGTCTGTCTCTGTCTGCCTGTCTGTGTCTTGTCTCCGTCAGATGTGGAGGTGGCAGTTCAGGCTCTGGGAGCTACCTGAGGAGGTTCTCAGTGGGTGATGGGTGGGGATGGGAGACATGGGGCAGCCAGCCCATGAAGGGTCCTTTTCCTCTTCTCAGATAGTTCCCAGGGTTCATGGAGAGGCAGTGCCGTGTATGGGCCCTTGTGCAATCTCCTTGGAGGACAGAGATGGCATCTGCGGGCAGACATATTCATCAGGCTGGGGTGGGGTGGGGTGGGGGAGGAGGGAGGGCAGGGAGGACACCAGAGGAGACAGGGCCCTTGATTGGTGCTCTTCGTAGCACCCTCTTTCTTTCAGAGATACTTTCATCCACTTGCCTCTCTTCCTCCACTTCAGGGCTGTCTGGCTTTCAGTGGGAGGCGTGGGTGATGGTGAGAAGCAGAGGGCTCTGCTTGGTAAGCTGGCAGGGGAATGGTGGCCAGGTTGGGCCTGTGGCAATTTGCTAGGCTTTTCCCTGTCTATGGAGGAGACAGGCTGAGGAGAGGAAGGCTTGGAGGAATCCAGGCAACATGCTGGGTGGTTTACCTGGTGTCTACTGCTGCTATGACATGCAACATCACCTCCAACTTTGCCTCCTTCCCACAGCCCCCTAAGGGGTCATTCAGGGGAGGGGCAGGCCTTCAGTAGGGGGGCCCCTCCTGCCTTCTTCTGAGAGCCTCTGAAGCCCAGGCTAAAAAGTAAAGCCGTCCAATCACAGGCATCATCTGGGCACCTCTCTTATCCATACCAGCACAGTATACAACGTGTGGTGGAGTCCTTTAAGCCCCTAAAGAGTGATTCTCACAGGGTCTGGGGGAGGATCCACTCTGTGCCAGCCACACCCTGCTACCACATATGTTAATATCTTCAGATCTTCTCAGTGTTCCTCTAAGGTGAGTATGATTTATCCTTCTGGAAACAAGCTCGGTAGGGTGAGAAACTTGTTCATGACTTCCCAGCTGGCAGTGTCAGAGCCCAGCCTACACTGAGGCCCTCAGGCCCCTGAATCATCCTGTTCCATCTTCCCATCACCTGAAGAAGTCAGACTCTGAGATCCTGAGACGCGGGTCTAAATGGTGATTCTGGGTTCCATGGTTCACCATGATGGCTAATAGGATACCTACCAGTATCCAGGACAGCCAGGGAACTTGTCCACTACAGTCATCAGCCCCTGGGCCCAGAATTAGGGTAGCAGAGGACATGTGCCTCTGTCAAGAGGGAGTGGAATAACAAGTTCTACAAGGTTCCTCAATTCTCTCTTCCATAATAGCATTTCCCCCCAGGGCTACCATACGTCCTCTGTATGTATTTAGTATGGTTGAATAGAGACACAAGTAAAATGTGGGTAGGAAATGAAGCAACTGCCAGAATGAGCAGTGTGCATGTCCCCTGTGGCCTAGGATAACTCAGACGTCTTCCATTCCCTGCTGTCTTTCCCCACCTCCTGACTGCTTGCTCAGGCTTTGCCTGCTCAGAGCAGTGAGGATGGAGGCTCACCAGACTGGAAAAGAGACAACTTCCCTGGCCAGGAAAAGAACAGCAGGTTTCTGTCTAGTTGCAGGAGAAGACCAAGCTGAGGACAGAGTCACAGACTAGGAGCTTGGAAGAGAAGAAAGGAGATGGCTCCTCTCTCATCCTCCCTGCCATAGAGAAGCCCAGCTTACGCTCCCCCTCTGTCTCAAATGTTTGTCAGAATGATGGAAGAAGCACCCTATGGTACAGCCATGGGCTCCACCTCTGCTCACCCACCCACCATCCCTCCCCGCCCGCCTCTCATAGAGCCATCTTCCCAGTCATTTCTCTTCCTGTTGATTCTCTTACCCTGTCTGTTCCTCTCCTGGTCTCCACTTATCCTCCCACTTATCCATCCTCCCCTGCAGCCTCTTGTTTTGTTGTCCTCTTGTCTTGCCTCACATGCATTTTATAGAAAGGCATCCATTCATCTCATCAACCAGCATTCTCCTACTCATGCAGCCCTCCCTGCGCTGTGTGTACTGACTTACGTTCCATCCTTCCCTCCACTTATTTTCTTACCTATTCAAATACCTCATTTGTCTATTCATCTGCCTTTCTACTGCCATAGATCTTCTTCCTATTCTTCTTCCACATCCTATTTCTTCTACTCACTTACCCATTCTTCCATCTACTAATCTGTCTATACATCCATTCCAATAGCCTTTTCTTCTTTCCATTCTTCCCTCCTCCATTCATCCATTCAAACCTCCCAATTAGTAAGACTCATGAGACAAAAAGCCCCTGACTCTGGGAACTTACGGCTTATTATGTCATTGACCGTATGGAAAGGCAATGGTCTTCAGAGCTCAATTTGGGAGTGGCTGCTGGGCCCAAAGGAGCATCCTGAACAGTCTGGGGAAGGTGGACTTGAGCCTCAGCCTTTGGCCCCCATGTGTGACCAACAGCATTTCCCTCTGTCTCCTTCATTCCTAAGAGTAAGTCTGCCCTGGTTCTTCTTCCAGACCCTAAGGTTCAGCTCGATGGGTTACTTAGACGTGGCCTCAGCTGGACACCAGTGGCTCATATCTGTAATCCAAGGTACTCAGAAAGCTGACATCTGAGGATCCTGGTTTGAAGTCAGCCTTGGCAGGAAAGGCTGTGAAACTCTTATCTCCAATTAACTACTCAAAAGGCAGAAGCAGAGCTGTGGCTCAAATAGCAGGGAGCCAGACCTAAACAAAAAAACGAAGGGACAGTGCCCAAGCCCTGCGTTCCCTCCCTCATAAGAAACAGCTAGAGCCAGAGGGTCACTTAGTCCCTACCTGCCATACTGGTCAGTGAGAGCCTCATGTCACCCCAGCACTTGACATGGCCAATAATCCTACTGGAATCATGTCACCAGTACCTGGACACAGACTTAAATCAGAAGCAGGAAATAGGTGTTTGGTTTTTTGTTTGGGGATTTTTTTTTATTTTCTTTTGCTTTTTAACCAGCATCTCATGTTCTTGTCATACCTTCCGTCCCCTCACGGTCCCATAGCCTCTCCATCCCAGCCCCTGCATTCCACCTTATCCACAGCTCTGGCTGCAAGGCTGTGCCTGATTACTGGGGTAGAGGAGCACCTGGCCTCTGCCCGGCCCCTGCAGGTGGCAGTGCCTTGACCGGTCTGAGAAGTCATGGGCCTCCAGCCCAGAGCTGCCTCCCTGAGCTCCCACCTTCCCTGGCTGGCCCCTGCCCTGTCACTGAGCTGAGTCTGGTCTTATTTCTTTCCAGGGAATCTGACTAAGCACATGAAGTCGAAAGCCCACAGCAAAAAGTGCCAAGAGACAGGGGTGCTGGAGGAGCTGGAAGCCGGAGAAGGTAAGAAACTCTAGGCCTCCTCTCTCTGCCTTCATGCCTTTCCCCTCCCTTCCTCCTCGCTTACCAGGCCACTGACCTCTGCCTTTCCCCTTCTCCTCCTCCTTTCCTCTGCCCTCCTCTCGATTGCTGCTCACCTTCCCCCCATTCTCCCCTCCAGCTTTCCCGATCACTGGCAGACAAAGATTATACTACCAGAATGCCCCCTGTGCTGTGCAGGATGGCTGTTGGGCACCACAGCCTACCATGCCGGAGCAGCACAGAGAATGCATAATGAGTGAACCCATGTGTAATTACAGACAACACGTAGTACCTACTATGTGTCAGACTCTGTGGGTCCCCTGCTCTCACATGGGCCTCACACATAGGACTCTGAAGGTGGGAGAGTTCCAAGAAAGCCAAATCCAGATCCCACAGGCCCATCCCTGCACTACAGGCAGATTAGAACCAATCTCAAAGCAGGCAAGCTATGGGGGAAAGCTAAAGTATCTGGCTGATCACTGCCCATCCCCAGCATCAAGTGTAGTGACAAACTTTTGACCATAATTCTCTGAAATCAGACTTAGGACTTAGAATGTGACAAAAAAAAAAATGTGGGGTGGGGGACTGGTATGGTGTAGTATGGTACATACATTATTCTATTTCTGTTTTTTTATGATTAGGAATGCATTTTCAGTCTAATAGAAGAGTTAAATGCTGAGTTCTGGGATTACAGGCATGAACCATGATGCCCATTAAGTCACTTTTTTAGAATATAATAAAATGACTCTTCCCCAAACCATAATGTCGGGGTTGCCATACTTATCAAAAACGAACGTCAGGCCATTTACAGACCCTGCCGCGTTTCAAGCAGAGGAAAGTGACACCTGAGCTGGGACCCTGAGGGATAAGGGCAAACTTCTCTGTCCACAAACATGAAGCAGGCAGTGCAGGTGCCATCCTCTGACGTCCGACTCTGGCCATGCACAGGGAACAGCCTGCAGGGGGCGCAGGAAGACAGTAGGCCAGGCCAAGCACATGTCTGTGTGGATGCAGACCACGTGGGCACGGTGCAGGTGAGAAATGATCAGATTCTAGATACATTCTGAGGCAGCACCATGGGCCCTGCTGTCACATCACAGAGGAGAAGGGATGAGTGGGAAATAAGCCAAAGATGATCTGAGATTTATGGCCTAAAAGACTAGAAGGATGATGTTGACACTTCCCCACTGAGGAAGACTCAAGTTGTGACATCAAGAGCTGGTGTATGAGATGGGGGAGGGGGGAGAGAAGAGGGCCCAGAGGGAACAGCCAAAAACATCGCCCTTCATGTACACCTCACCAATCCTACCCAGGCAGATGAGGTTGCACACCAGTGCCACCGTGTGGCAAGTCCCAGAAATGGCACCTATCCATGCTTCCTTCTGAGGTTCCCCATCCTGGTCCCAGGTCCCTGAATTTGTAGCAGCCAGTTCTCTTGTTGAGCATTGGCCTTGATCTCAGCAACTGCCTGGAAGCTCCTTGTGGGGCATCAGGAATGAGAAGTGGCCAACAAGCCAGGGAATCTCTTAGATCCCAGCAGGGATCTTGGAATGGGGGCAGGAAGGTGGAAGGATCTGATGAAGCATGCCCTGGACTGGAGACTCTTGGTGTGTCATTCATATACTGGATGTCCAGACCACTCCCTCTAGGTCTCAGCTTTCTCATCATTAAAGAGGAATTTTAGTGGCTGGTGAGTATCAGGTGGTGCTGGTTCCACTGTTCCTTACCAACCCTTATCTGCAAGAAGCTCAGTGCTACCCACAGCTACCTGCCTGTGGGCTGGGGGAGGGGAGGCTGGAGATGATGATAGCCATGGCTTACCCCTGCCCCCAATTTACAGAGAAGAAGTGGAGCACAAAGCAAAAGGGAGTTGTCACTAGGAGAAGGGACTCAAACCCAGACCATTTTCTGCTTCTAGAATGATAAGAATCATTTTTAAATTATCCATGTAATAACACAAGAGTTGTGAAGCTTAGCTCTGACTTAGGTGAGGGCTTGCTGGACGATCTTGGTTGTGTCCTCCATCTTTCTCTGTTCCAGGGTTTCACCTTACGTGAGTGAGGACAGGGTTCGGTGACTTCTTGGGGCTACAACAGACAGACTCCAGCCAAAGTCCCAGCCCAAGAGATTAATGCCTGTGGCCAGACTGCAAAACTTTTCCCCTTGTACTTCTGCCTCCAGCTGCTACGAGAACCTGCCCTGGGCCTTGTAGCCCTCCCCTTTGCCCACCAGCTCCTGCTCCACCCCATAGTTTTTTTTACCGTTTTAGACATCTTACTGCTGCATGTGATTATTCTAAGCAAGCACTGATGCTGGGCCCAGGGCAGCTGGATGTGACGGAGATGCTTGGGTACTCCAGATGCTTAGGTCTAGTGGTGCTCTTCTGTAGTGCCTACAGTGCTGCTTTGTGTCCTCTCCATGGGGATGACTGATGGTTCTACCCACCTGTCACCAGCCCACAGTCTGTGGGCATGACACATGGGATCCCAGCAATCTCACGATGTAGTAGCCGAACCCTTCAGAGCCTGCCAGGTGGGCCAGACATTAGCAGAGCACTCCCCAACATCCAAAATGCTACCAATCTCAGAGATGACCTAAGAAGACTGGCAAAGGTGACCCAGCTGGTGGAAGCCACCTTATGAAATGCCAGACCAGAAAGCTGGCATTTCAGAGCTGTTCCCTCCTTGCTGGGAGTAGCCCAGGCTTTTAAAAGGCAGTGACTCCTCAGGGTAAGAGTGCAAGGGTGGCACCCTGCCCTGTAGCCTGAGGCCAGCTTTGCCATGCCACCCACAGAGGCTAGACTCTGCCACCTGCCAAACGCTGTTGTACCAGCCAGTGGCAGCCTGGTCACCATGGCAGCCATGTGTTTAAACTGACCACAGTTCTGTCTGCAAGACTGGCCAGCGTGCTCTGTCCCAGAACAATAGATGTCAGCCTGAATAGACACATAGCAATTATCATTATTTGGGCCCTTAGTATGTGCCAGACCTGCCTTTTCTCCTCCTAGCATATGAATTATGACTCTCTTCATAGCTATATGAGTGTTGACTCCCATTCATTTGATAAAAGGGGAGCCTGAGACACAGAACGATATCCTAGCTGGCTCATGGACTGACATATTGGTAAAAACAAGAAAGCTGTCTTTCAAGGGCTTGAACTCAGAACCTCATGCTCATGAGGCTTTTTTGCTCAAAGCTGGCACTCTTCTACTTAATCCATACTCCACTTCTGGCTTTTGCTAATCAATTGAATATAGGAATCTCATAGATTTATCTGCCCAGGCTGACTTTGAACTGCTCAGCCTCCTGAGTAGCTAAGATGACAAGGCACGAGACACCAGCCCTGGGCTTAAGAAGGGTGCCTTACTTACTATGGTTCGGTCCCAGCTGTAGGAGTAGTTTACCCGGACAAGTTAGTTTATTTGTCTTACCTGTTTTGCTCATTTATTATATGAAGATAAAAACATAACCAACTTCCCAGGATTCCTTGGGTACAGTGTGAACTAATAGCCCTAAAGCCCTCAGAATTGAACATACACATTCCCAACAGAAGGTAATCGTTGCTCACCATTATGCACAACATGTTCTGTCTCTTGTGTCACTTGGTCATCTGCCATCTCTGTGGCATTTTGCCTCATTGGCAGACAAGGGAACTGGCAGTGTGGGGTCAGAGCGGCCCCGCAGGGGCGGACTGTGACCTTGGATGTCCTGCATTCTCCCCTCAGGAACCAGTGATGACATGTTCCAGGACTCAGAAGGGCGAGAGGGCTCCGAGGCTGTGGAGGAGCACCAGTTTTCAGACCTGGAGGACTCAGACTTGGACTCAGATGCAGATCTGGATGAAGACGAGGAGGAGGATGAGGAGGAAAGCGAGGAGGAGTCATCCAGGCCATCCTCAGAGGCTCCCCCACTGGGCCTGCCAGCCACACTGCAGGAAGATTCCTCACCTGCTCAGGGCCCTCCGGCCTCCGATGCCACCTCTGATAACAAGGCCACCAGAGACAGCTCCGTCTCAGAAGCTGAAAACTTGACAGCCAGCAGTTGCTCCACATCCAGCCAGAGCATCCCAGGCCTTTCTCGGCTGGGACTAGCCCCGCTGGGTCCTGGGGAAAAAGATACAGGCTCAGCTTTGAGCTCCAAGACTGTGTCCCCTCCAAGGTCGTGGTCCCCAAGCAAAGAAGTAGGCAGCCAGCCACCGCTCACTCGCAAACACTCACTCACCAAAATCGACTCGTCTCCCCAGAGATGTTCACCAGAACTGCAGACTTCAGTTACAAGCACGCCTGGACCCCCAGTGGGCCCAGGAAGGGACAAGGGCCCTCCTCCTTGTGGGTCCCCAAGACTGGATTTGTCTTCTCCCACTCTACGCCCCCCCTTCCTTCGAGCACATCTGCCCCCCAGACTCGAGGGTGCCATAGACCCAGGCACCCCCAGATACTCACCCACCAGGAGATGGTCTCCAGATCAGGCTGAGTCACCACCATGGTCAGCGCTGCCAGAGAAGTGGGCTCTGTCTGTGCCGAGCAGCCCCTCAGCCAGCAGGCGTGGCCCAGGCTTGGGGCCAGCTCCGCGGGCTCTCTTTCAGCCTGCACTCCTACCTCACAAGCTTCTCGGCAGAAACCCGGAGACCTGCGTCTCCACGTGGGTGAGTTGCTGTCGTGTCCCTCCCAGGGTGGAGTGGGTGTAGAGAGGGTTGCAGGTTCTCACAAGAGCTTCACATCTGAAATGGGGGGGGGGGTTCTGCCAGCTCAGTGGTCACTGATCAACTAACAAACATTTCTTGGGACTCTACTGTGCAAGGCTCCACACCCTGTGCCTTAAGCCAACTTTTTTTTTTCTTTCAATGTCAGTACCAAGGCTTAGACTCAGAGCCTCACATTTGCTCAGCTTGCTTGCTCATCTGGTACTCTACTACTTGAGCCACACCTCTAGTCTGGCATTTTGCTGATTAATTAGAGATGAAGTTCGACAGACTTTTCTGCCTGTGCTGGATTTGAACCACAATCCTCCAGTCTCAGCTTCCTGGGTAGCTAGGATTACAAGCTGGAGCAGCTGGCACCTGGCTCTGATTTCATTTTGTTGCACCCCCTGAAGCAACAGGCATGGTCTCTTTAGTTCATGAGCTTGGGGCTCTACCCCCTAACAAATAGGACAGCCTTGGCTGTGGGCAGAACTATTGAACTAGTTCCCATCTTTTCCATCCCCACCCTGCTTGTTGGCAGGAGATCGACCACTGAGCCATGCCTTCATCCCTTCTGTACGCTGGTTAATTTTGATAAGGTCTCACTTCCTTCCTGGGTACCTCCTTGTTCTATAATCTACCTATTTTTGTCTTACTATAGCTGAGCACACACAAACACACACATAGACACACACATACACACACACACAGCATCTTTCCATTGAGATGGAGTCTCATAAATTTTTCTGCCCAGGCTGACCTGGAATTTCCATCCTCCTGGTGGGCTTTAGCCTTCCAAGTAGCTAGGATTACAAGGATGAGCCACTGGCACACAGCTTCAAGGAATGTTTCCTGATGGTTGATATGGGATCCCATGCACATTCTTGGTGGAAGAAGGTCAGGATCCTTGGATGGGAGGGAACTGACACATGTACAAGGGGAAAGTTGGGTCCAGACCATTTTAGTAATAGGAGAGGCAGCAGATTAAAGATAAAGGGCCAGGCCAGGGCCAGAACCCCTCCTGCAGATGTTCTGGCGGGGGGCTTGAAGACTATGGGACTGGAGTGTGCTCATGGTCATCAGATGGCGCAAGATGGGCATCAGGCAGTACCATGCACAGAGAGGTGAGATGTCTGGGCCATCTCCAGCAGCTTCGTTCAGGGGTCTCTGGCTAGTCCAGCCTCGATGCCTCACTTCTCCACCTGGCTGGTGTGTAACACTCTCCTTTTTAATTTTGTTTTTTGACCCTAGCAGAAGGCTGAGTCTCCAAGTGCATCCTGCTCACCTGGTCCTGCTCATCCTTTCTCCTCCCAACCCTTCTTGGTGCCCCATGACTTCCACAGCCACAGCCCAGCTCAGACAGAGAACATCTTCAGCCACCTGCCTCTGCACTCCCAGCACCTGTCCCGAGCCCCGTGCCCCTTGATTCCCATTGGTGGGATCCAGATGGTGCAGGCCCGCCCAGGGATCCACCCTGCCCTGCTGCCAGGGCCCTCCACAGCCTGGGTCAGTGGCTTCTCAGGAGGTGGCAGTGACCTGACAGGGGCCCGGGAGGCCCAGGAGCGAGGACGCTGGAGCCCCACCGGAAGCTCATCAGCCTCCGTGTCCCCTGTGGCTAAGGTTTCCAAGTTCACCCTCTCCTCGGAGCTGGAGAGCAGAGATGACCCCAAGGAGAAGGAGAAGATGGGAAGAGGCCCTGGAAGACCTCCTGACTGGGAGCCCCGTAGGGCTGAGTCACCCTCAGATCCCATGCCCATACACAGCCCCTGCACCCCACAGCTACCCCAGGGCCACCAAGTGGCCCAGTCTTGGAGTCCTCACTTGGAGTCACTGCCCATATTGGCCAACCCCGCAGACTCTGCCTCTCCACCACTGGACCGCAGCAGCTCCATGGGCTGCCTGGCAGATGCCTCTGCTCGCTTCACAGCCCGGAGGAGAAACCTCTCTGGGGAACCCAGGACCAGGCAAGATTCCCCTGAGCCCCCAGGTAGTGGGGGGCCCAGGGTACCTCCACCCCCGCCAGAGGACAGAGGCCCCCTGAGCACTTAGCCTCTCTCCAACCGCTTCCAGTGCTTGGCAACAGACGTTTTCCATCCAACTTCCTCGAGTCACCTTGCTCCCATGGGCTCCCTTCCCATCTGTCCATCCGTCTATGTGGCTTCTGCTCAGCCCTCCATCTGTTATATCTTCCATGTATGCAGTTACCTGTGCCTTTTTCTAGACCTTTTGTTGCTTGAAAAGAAAAATCACACACATACATCTAAGAGAGAGAGAGAGACCCATGAGGATTTTGAGGTTGTGAAGCATCTGTCCCCTGGGGAAAGGCTGTGGTGGCTTCCTTGTAGTCCCCAATGCAGCCAGCAGCCCTCAGGCATTCTCCATGTAAAGGCTGGCAAAAGGCAGCTGTTTGCTTAGGGAGAAGAAAAATAAAGGAAACTTTCAAAATATATACAATTAAATTCAAAAGCAAGCATTCCTATACACAGATGTCTAGTTCCTATGTATGGCCATTAGACCTGCCCTCTAGCTAGTGGCTACTTCTCCCTGGTTAGCAGAAGGGCCAATGAACTCAGTCAGAGGGACACAGATGCCCATCCCCAAATTACCTTCTCTGTTTCTTTTATTCTTTGTAAGAAAAAGAACCAACATTTCTTTTGCTAGGATTTCCAAGTACAAAAATAATAGGAGCACATGGAAGGTAGTTGCTGGTTGGTTTGCCCAAGCTTCTCAGATACCTAGGTAGTCTGAGTTGTGAATCCATCCCCACATAGGATAAGTGAGCAAGCCACCCTAACCCTGGCCCCTCCTGTCCACTCTCCACCTGCCTCTGGGCTGGCAAAGGGACCTGACCTCTATAGCCTGGTCCCCATACACCTGACTCTCACCTCTCTCTTCTGGCCCTGTCCACAGGCCACTCCGTACGCTCAAGCTATCTACAAGGCTGAGTGGCTGAGCCTGAGGTTTGAGTGTTGCTTCACTATGGCCCTGGAGTACAAGAGACATACTACTTCTTTCCTGGTTGGATTACATTGCGCGCGCGTGTGTGTGTGTGTGTGTGTGTGTGTGTGTGTGTGTGTGCGTGCACAGATAGATATGTATCACAAATCTAAACATAGAATATTATATTTGGTTGTTTCTCCAACCTTTTCAGATATTCTTAACCTAAAGGATTTGTAGCCTGTCCTAAGTCATTTGAATTTTTCTCTGCATTCTGGATCAAAACCTTGCTTTATAAGGAAAGTAATATGACCAGAAACATAAATTTCAAGTTGATTTCACCTCTGGCATATTAGCCTATATAATTAAATGTAAAAGCAGGCACTGCTGTGTACTAATGTCTGTGGTTCCTTTTTCCACCTAGGAGAGATGGGTTCCCCACTACCACTACCACCACCCCTACAACCGCCTTTCAGAAATGATTCTCTTTGATTTCTATAAGGGGGGAAAGTGCAGGACTCATGGTCATGTGTCACCCAGGCTGGATCCAAAGCAGGGACCTCTCTGGCTACTCCTGGACCTCAGCTAGACCGTATGTAAGGAAGGCTCAGCCAAAGGCTTCTGAGCTGGTGAAGCTCCTCAGCCAAGCTGTCACGTAGGGAAGATTCAAATACCTTGAGCACCTTGTGCTAGTTTAGAGCCTTTCCCTACTTAGGCCCCGTGGAGTGGGTACCCCAACCTGGTCCACCGGCCAGCAAACTACCTAGTTCATTCCTTATCTTGCTCCCAGCTAAGGTAGGGGCATGTTCAGTTAGGCAAGGCCTCTCAGAGTTCACTGTGTTCCTAGGTGCTGGGGGCGGGGTGGGGAGAGGGATGTGGATAGGCTAGCCAGGCACTCCTAATGCTTGACTCAATCTTAGGTCTCCTGCCCACCTGGGAGAAGCTAGGGAGCCCAGCCTAGACCAGACTGGCTCATTTTGGGCCTGGCAGGAAGTGATAGGAGCCTCAGTCCCGGTCATAGCCAGGCCAGAGGCTAGGATGCTCCCTTGTGACTTTCATTCCTAATCCACAGACTCCACACATTGGAGATTTCAAAGCTGAGGCTGTGGAGCTGGATAAAGAGCATCACTTCCACCCAGGCGGAGTCTTCCAGGGCAAGATCTTCCTGCCTCAGATTGCTGTGCTAGCCCTGAACCTTCAGGATGTCCCATAAGACTCCAACCCTTCCTAGCTCTCTTGGATGTCACCCCTCTGGACTTTGCCCTCTGCCCACCAAGATCCCCTTCCTTGCTATCCTTGTAACATGGCATAGCTATTGGTGAGACCTGTTTCTCCATGACAGGGACAGGAGTACCAAAGAGTGCTGCTCTAACCAGTACCCAGAGGGAGCAAATCAATGGCACACCAGGCTAGCTCTGATCCCCTCTGCTAAAGTTCTCTGCCCAATCTGATGACACAAGGCCCCAGGCCACAGCATACCTTCCCAGTTTGGAACAGCTCACTTCACACATGCCCTCTGGGTCTCCAGTCTGTTCCCAATCACCCTGATCCTCCGGTCCCTACCCCTGTGGAAGTATAGGAATCCATGCTGACGTGTGGATGTAGACCCCAGCTCAGTGGATAAATAGCCATTCCTTGGCACAGAGGAGCTTGGGTCCTTAGATTTGGCAGTTGGCAATTTGCAGAGGCCTCAAGCCAAATCCTGCCTTCTGTTGACGGTCCCAAGCCCCTTCTCCCCAGCTCTGCCTTTGAGGTTCCTGTTGTATTGGACAGCTTCACAGTCACTCCAGTTGTCAGCCCCTTCCTCCTTCTTGTCCCCCATCATAGCTTGCACGCTGCTCCCAGACACAAGACCTGCCGCGGTCCTGACAGAGCAAACTGCCAGAAGTCCGTCTCCCAGGCTCAGAGGTTTCTGCCTTCCTCCGTTGGAAAATTTCAGGAAATAAAAATGTGTTTCTAGGTCCCTCACACACACACTCCCCCCCCCCAAGATCTCTCCTTATTGGCCAGCCAGACCTCACTTTACCCAGCAAGGGCCGGACAGGCAGAAACTGCAGCCCCCCCCCCCCCCCCCCCAGGCACTGCTCCATTCCTACCCGGCTCCTTGGAACAAGCAATTTAGCAATTTATCTGAGTTGATGTTCTTTCTAATGCTTGCTCCAGACAAATCTTTGTGGGATGATACTGGGGTTTGAATTCAGGGCTTGGGCACACTGTCCCTTAGCTTTATCACTCAAGGCTGGCACTCTACCACTTGAGCCACAGCTCCACTTCTGGCTTCTTGGTGGTTGATAGGAGATAAGAGTCTCATAGACTTTTCTGCCCTGGCTGGCTTTGAACCACGATACTCAGATCCCAGCCTCCTGAGTAACTGGGATTACAGGCGTGAACCACAAGCACCCAGCCAGACAAATCTTTTTTTTTTTTTAAGTGAAAGTTTTGGCTGAGCTGCCCTCCCTCCTTGGAGACAGATCTGTGTTGCCCAAGGGAGAAAGTTGCCAAAGGCACTGTTTCCATTAACAACCTGCTCCAGCACTTAGGATCACTTTATAAATCTAGGGCTCAAGGAAAAAGAAAAGGAAGTAAAAAGAAATTTGTAAGATACATGCTCTCTGTAAGATAAATATTTGCCTTTTTTTCTTTTCTAAAAGTTGTATGTATTCTGTATGTGAAATTGTCTGTAGAAAGTTTTTATGTTCCTAAATGGCAATACATTCCAAACTCCGTACTGTAGATACGTGTGTACAGCCACCGCACTGGGATGGGTAGTTTTGCCTGTAATTTTATTTAAACTCCAGTTCCTACCCTTGCATCTTGCCATGTTGGTATGGTGTATATCAGTGCAAAAGATAAAAGAAAAAAAAAAAACAACAACAAAATCCATGCTGGTCTAAAGCACAGAGTCTCATGTACAAAAGGTTTAAAAAAAAAATGCTCAGTATTGATGTGTGTGACCTTTGTTGTAAATTACATCCGTACTGTGAATGAGAGCTTTTTACAAGTATAATAATTGCCTTTATTACAGCTCTGGCTGAGTGTTCAGCCTGAGGATATTTTTTAAAAAAAAGAGCACGTTGGAATAAATTTGAAAGTCCCAACAGAGTCTTGTCTGCCTGGCTTGTGGTTTTTCTTGAGGATTGTAGAAGGTCAGATTGGGTAGAGGAGGGAGTTTGGTACTCCAAGTGTTCATTTTCAGTGTGATCAGGCCCAGAGAGGGGAAGTTACAAGGCCATAGTCACACGGACAGGGATTCTCAGCAATAATTCCTGAAGCTTGGCACGCTATTGCCCTGTAAGCACAGCCTGCATTCAGTTGCTAGGTCTGCTGTTAGAAACGGTCACAAAGTCATACACACAGATTCTGAAGATTATGATAGGACAAACTTGGGAGTCACCACGGAACACAACTGTAGGATGAAAGGGGTTCCTGTGTGCCCTTCGGCAGATCACCTAATCACTCTTTTTCCTCACCTGGAAGGGAATGATGAGGTTTAAATGAGATGTGCATAAGGGAAGCTAACAGAGCCTTCAGCAAATTGTTTCAGCCACTGCCACCTTTGCACAGGATGCTGTTTGCAGGGGTAGAGAATACAGGTCCCCAGCTTCGGCCTCCACTACTAAGCACCATGGTTCACTACAGCAGTGAGCAAGAGACACCATCCACCTTTGAGAGCTCCAATCCCGGCAGGTCATGGGCTGTCACCCTATTGCAGGAGTGTAAATGGTTTGGCAGGAGAAAACCAACAATCTAGTCCACATGGAGTCAGAGTCTCAGGGACCTTCCAGGTCCTCATGCTGGCCCAGGACGGGAGGATATCACAAGGGGATCCCAGAAGTTCAGTGCTAAGGATCTAAAGGTAAGCTAGCCCAGTACCATTCTGGGCTCCCCTAGCAGGGCCATCTCTGAGTTCTGGATAAATGGTGGGTGGAGGGTGGTAGCTGAGGATTAGAGGCCTAGGGCACTGGAAGGGCTGCTGGGCAATTGCTGGAGGGCTGTGGAGTCTTGGGGAGAGAGGACTGGAGAGCAGAGGCTGAGTATTAAGGTTGGTATGGCCAAAGAGGCAAGGTCAATCTCCCTAAATTGGGGGGATGTAGGGGAGGCAAAGTCAGCATATCTGATGACAAGGATGCTCCCAGAGATGCAGGTAACGATGGAGAGACTAGAGAAGACATGATGGGGAACAATAGCATGCCTTCCACCCCCAGGAGATGAGGCAGGCATCCTGCTTAGCACTTGGGCTGCAGCCTCCATCTGCTCTTCAGTTTCTCTAGCAGTGGTCAACATCCAGACCACAAGAACAGAGAGGCAGACAGTCAAGTCAGATTCACCCAGAGGGAGGTTCTGAGCCCATGGCACAGAAGGACAGTGGGTATAGCAGG